ATATTCGAGTTTTCTTCGCTTTAGCGTTAACAAAATCTCTGGGTCTTTTCCTATTCTTCGTATTACTTCACAGTTTGTTATTCTTTCAACCCAACTAATCTTCAGCATTCGACGGTAGCACCACATCTCGAAACTTTCAATATTTTTCATGTTGTTCTGTTTGAGAGTCCAGGCCTCTACACCGTATAATAGCGTGTTAAATACATAGCCTCTCAGCATTCTTAATCGTAGAGGGATGCTTATATTTCTGTTGCAGAAGAATTTTCTCATCTTTATGAAGGTGGCCCTGGCAATTTCGATACGTCTTTTTATTTCACTGTTTTGGTCTCCAGTTTCGTTTATTAAAGTTCCCAAGTATTTGTAACTTGATACTTTTTCAACTTGAGTGCCGTTTATACTAATATACGCTGGTTGTGTCATGTTTTTACTGAAGACCATATACTTGGTTTTTTTAATATTGATATTTATATCATAATTGTTGCAAGCAATATTTATGTCTGTAAGTAATCTTTGTAATTCTTCTACTGTTCTTGCAACTAGTACAGTGTCGTCCGCGTATCGAATATTATTTACAATCTCTCCATTAATTACGATTCCTCCGTTTGCTTGTAAAAGGGCTTCCTGACAGATGCTTTCACTATATACATTAAATAACAGAGGTGACAAAATGCAACCCTGTCGTACTCCTCTACGTATTTCTATTGCTTGTGATGTTTGAGGGTTGTGTAACAATAACAATTTTACAAGGTTGTGTAAATAATAAAGCACATTGTTTTATGCTAATAGCAATAAAATGCATGTATCAATAAAGTAAGGTTAGAATTTCTCACTTTCAGAACTTTTAAACTATATTTCATAGAAATAGAATTCTGAATTATGATGGTCTTATCGTAAAAAACACTATACTTACAAGAAAAAGCAGCAAAGGAAGTAAAATGTTAACTTTATAGAAATTAAAAAGTCTTGAGATTTGACATTTTAATGTTTGTTTGGAAAGTAATAATGACAATGTGATAGTCGTGACGTCACACTCCTGCGGTCTATTTATGCCAAAATATCACCTTTGTTCGATTACAGTTACAGTGTGTTCCGAACAAATGTTCTTTATAAAAATACTTTATCATGCATTTATATAGATTAAATGAAACATATTATTGTGTATTTCTTTAAGTTAACAGTAATAGAAATCTTTAAATATTATTTCTACGCGTATATAATAAAATATGTCTAGTGGCTGTAATGCCAGTGTACTCGGCAAAGTGATTCTAAAAAAGAATAAATCTACCGCCTAAATATTTCGTGTTGGTATCATGTGACCTCACGGACTATGACGCAGATGACGTGCAACGGTAAGTAAATTAGATGAAGTATACGTAATTATAATTCAATCAAACTTCTTATCCATAGAATAATAATAATAGAATAATAATTTTAATATAATAGTAGAAACTTCTTATCGCAGTAGTTGTCAGTGTAATGTTAGATTAAAGACGAGTTAGTCCTTGGTAATTTATAGTTATTAGTTATAAGGTTATTAGGTATAAAAACGTCAGGGAAAGAACGTACACAGTCACTTTTTTGTAAAATATTAAGTTCTAAACTATCAAAAATGCATACCTACTTCAAATTTATGTTAAGTGAACATTGCACGTTCTTTTCATGAAGTTTTCATATAATATTTGACAATGATTATCATTTGTATTATTAATAATGTACTACATGAACCGAGAGTAGGAGGGCAGGTAGCAGGGAGGATAAGAGGGAGGCGTATGTCCAACAATGAATACAGTGTTAAAAATCAACCAAAACTTTTAAATTAATATACCTAATATTCATTTTCTAAATACATTTTTGTCTTGTTTCAGCTGACGAACCCAATCCTGAGCTTGGTACTTGGATTGAAGAAAATATAAATGTGGAAAATGTTGTCTACCAGACTTTAAGTCCAGTAATATACAGTAATGATGACATCATCACGTCTGCTAGACTAGGTGAGAGTATTTGTACTACAGAAACAAAAAATCTCCGGCCAAAGAAAGTGAAATCCATGACTCCTTCAAACCGACCAGGGGAATGGTAGATGACTCAATCCAACGTAGTGATTTTTCCAATTCTTTTGAATCATACGTACCAAATTTTTCAGAGCTATCTAGTGATGAAAATATTAATATAGGAGAAGTTGTTCAAGAGAATTTTAATCCAGAACTGTCTAACAATACAGTGGCACCTGATGAAAACTGTGGAAGTGTTTTGACTACAGACTCGAATAATGACGCAATTCCATCCAGCTCATCTACCGAGCTTAAACATTCTCCAACTGAAGAAATTAATCCAGGTTTAACAAAAAAACGAAAGAGGATTGCAGACCCCTCCACTTGGACCAGAAATGTGACAAAGGAAAAACGTATGTCAGGTAAGACGTAGGTAAACCGCTCTGGAAAAATAATGGCTGAAAAAAAGGTTGAAGATGTTAATTGCTCTAAATGCCATTTTAAATGCTCCCAAAAAATATGTTAAATGCAAAGAGAAAAGATATTCAAAGATTATTGCCAGCTGAAAGATCCATGTAGACAAAAATCATTCATTTGTGCAGTTGTAAAAAAAGCTGAAGATAAAAAACGGCCAATAGATGACAAAGGTGTAACATTTCGATCTGTTTCATTTGACTTGCAGGTAGTTTTATCTGTGGCCTATGCCGGTGATGCTCAAATCTACTACAGACGCAAACTTTCTGTCTACAGCTTTACAATATTTGATTATTGTAATAGTGACGGACATTGTTACATTTGGGACGAAACAAATGGAGGAAAAGGATTGCATCCTGTTTGTTGAAGTACATTTCAAAACTTCCTGGTACTGTCAAACATGTAAGCACATTTTCCGATACTTGCAGCGGCTAGAATCTCAACAGAAATATGGCAGCAGCCATATTATCTGCGGTAAATACAATTCAACATCTAGATACGATTGATTTAAAATTCATGGAAAGTGGCTACTAATATTTAGAAGCAGATTCAATTCATGCTACTATCTTTATTCTACACCAAAATGGGCGAGAATCAAACCAGGGTCATACAAAACAAATGTTCTAGGCTATGAGAACATGTTTGACTTTCAAGCTCTGATTACTCTCATGATTATGAACACAAAGTTGAACGTGAATAATGAAACTGTTAAGTGGCTTAAACTTAAGTGGCTTCGTTTTGAAAAATAGTAAGCCTTTCACCATACAGTATAAATATAACTTGTATAATGAAGATTTCTACTATTTGGATGTGTCAGCCATACGCAGGAGTACAAGAAAATCGCCTACATGGAAGAAGTCTAATTGAAAAAAAAAATATTCCACGCATCTGTCAATATCCTTCGCCAAGAAAAAATATCTATTATACTTGTGTAATGTTGGAGTTATACCCAAAGACTACAAAGGGACGATAGATTCCATACCGACCAAAGTCAATTTGCAAGACAGAGTTCCAATAGAAAATAATTCTGAAAGTGAAATAGACTGTTGACGTTCTTTATTGTGGTAACATGAATAAATACATTTATATTCTCCTATTTCTTTATTTTTATGTACATAAAACGTCCAATTATAACATCAAAATCATGATGTACACTTATTGCATGTCCATACTTTTATTGCCAACTATTGTATGTCCATGATTTTTTTTTTAATATATATATATATATATATGTATATATATATATATATATATATATATATATATATATATATATATATATATATATAGTACAGGTTGTGTACAACTGTCGTTGTTTTCCTGTCCCTAGTTTCCATCGTTTCATATCTCGGGTGTCGGCTTCATTTAGCTGTCTTCCTTCCATGGCTTCATTCACGTCATCTCGCCAGCTTCTTCTTGGACGCCCTCTTTTCCTTCTTTCGGTTGGGATCCATTTTAATATTTTCTTTGGCCACCTCTCGTCTGCCATTCTGTTTACATGACCGAACCAAGTTAGTTGTTTTTTCTGGACTTTATCTATAATGTTTTTTTCTTGCTCCATTCTACGTTTTATTTCTTCATTGCGGATTCTGTCCATCCTTGTCAATCTACAGCTTCTTCTCATAAAATCCATCTCGGTAGCTTGTAATTTTTTCCTGTTTCTTTTACTAGTGTCCCATATCTCTGCTCCGTATGTTACCACCGGCTCAATCATCGTCTTATATATTCGTTTTTTCGTCGTTCTTGTGATTTTTTATCCCAGAGAATGGAGTTTAGGCATTTGGTAATGTTTCTGCCTTTGTTTATTCTTGTATTTATTTCTTCATGGCTATTTCCGTCTTTTGTAAACACTACTCCTAGGTATTTTACTCTATTTGTTCCTTTGATTTTGTCACTCTCCAATGTCAGGTCTTCGACTGTATTTTTCCCCACTGAGAGATATTCGCACTTTTGTAAGTTCATTGTCAGTCCACATTCTTCGTACGCTGTTTGTAGTTTCCTAACCATATAGCTGAGGTCGTCTATATCTTCTGCTACCACCAGTTGGTCATCAGCGAAGAATAGTGTATAGAGAATATCCTCATCTATTTGTATTCCCATATTTCTGCATTGTCTTTGCCACTTTTGTAGAGATCGATCCAGATGTATTTTAAACAGCGTAGGTGATAACCAACATCCCTGTCGTAGCCCTTTCGTAGTGTTAAATTTCTCACTAAGTTTGCCACCTATTTTAATTGATGCGGTGTTGTTTACATACCACTTTTTTTTAAGTGTTCTTTAATTTTTTTGTGAGGTAAGGTATTTATTTTTATTACCCATTTCAATGTCCATTTAATGACGTATCATGAAAAAAATTATACAAAGTTTAATGTTGAATGTAACACCGTGCTACAAGAGCTTAAACATTAAAAATCGATTTACTCAAAAAGTTCGTCCACGGACATACAATAAATGTGCTTTAAGCCATCGATATATCCTTTCCAAACGAACGGTGTCCATGGTAACTAATATATGACATTTATCAGTCGTTTTATGTTTTGTCAATATTTTGAATTCGGGAAGACGTACATCATTTAAAAGACATTTTAATATACAATAAAATGACTGGTATTCCAAAACTTCCTGGCTATACTTTTACTGACCCCACAGTAAGTAAAAATTGTTTATTTGATTTGACAATAGAAAAGCTTCCTTTACGTTTTTATATTTTTTTACCAAAGCATTTTACAGTCTACTCATTTTCTTGAATTATTTTTCCTCGTCTTGAGTTACTACACATTTTTTCCACCTTTAGTATCCTCCTTTATTATTCATTTTAGTCACAATATATCTGTAATTCGTTTTTCAATAATTCTACTTACAACCTTGGACTCTTGATTATTTTTTAACATGCAATTTGCTTTATATTCCTTAGCCATATAGTCGTATAGCCATTAAGTTCTGTTAAAATATTCTAGTTCTGTATTAAGATCTGCTTAAGTTTAAATTAAGTTTAATTTAATTGAATTGAATTTTTCAGGGTTCTTTACTACAGACAAAAATATTTTATCTTCAATTCGTGGCTTCTAGTATTTTCTGGATCTGCTTCTTATGATAGATAAGGAGAATAAATACGATATACAATTTATAACCTTTTTCTAAAAAATCACCATTTCTTTGAATACCATATAGAAATATAAAAATAAAGATCGTGTACAATTTATTACCTATTCCTCAGAACAAAAGAAAACTTAATTCTGTTATCTCCATTTTAAACCAAGTTATTTAATTTACTGTAAAATTTGTGAGAATTAACTTTTTTAAAAAACAAACAAAATTTGATTATGTGCCAATTATCTGATTTGTGAATTCAATTCTTTTGAATCAATTACTTTATGATATTGCTTTAAAAAAACATAAAATGATACAAATACAACGCTTATTTCACAAATAATGTAATTGACCTTTTTGATTTACTATCTGCGATGTTTCCCGACAGACACTAATGGCAATCTATCATGTATTGGGGCAAAACAATCTCCCTATATAGTCCCTCTTCTTAAGTAATTTTATTTTATGTCTTTTCCTTCCATTACTCGTAATATTTGTATACATTGTGAATGTTGTACACTCCTCTGATCTGTTCTGATTCAACCTGTCTCAGAACATTCCATTTTAGTTATTCACTATGTAAGGACCCTCGAAAACAGGCATTAACTTTGCACAACTATCATTTATGAGATTCGACACTCGTAATTCCCTTATAAGCACCTTCTCGCCCCTATGGAAACACTGGTCTTCGTCTTGTATTTCGATCCTGCCTTTGGATATATTTCTCATTGCTTCTTCGCAGCCTGCTCCACACCGTTTACAACACCTGTTGGGATTCTCTCGGCTCTGGATCTTCCCATGGTCTTCTCGGCATTACCCCTTTCATGATGTACCCTCAGAAGGATTGCTTTGAGGATGTCTGATGCTGGCAAAGTTTGTCTCTATTCCCTTTCTCTCAGCTGTCCCTTGAAATGATCATTTCGGAAATACGGTATTCTTCTTGGTATTCCTACGGTGGCTATAAAATTATCGATCTTCTTCATGATCTCTTCTCCTTTTGTGGTATGGCAACTATATAATTTTACATATTTTGAAAAAACATCAACCATCACCAAAATATGTATTCTTGGGTCGTCATAATGATCACTCAACATATCTATCGCTACAATGTCCAATTTGTTATGGGATACAATATTTTTTGCGATGTTTTCATTCTTGAAATTTCTACTTTTATATCTTTGACAAGTTTCACACTTTTGGGTAGTCTCCTTAGCAATGAGGTAATCTTATCTGCAGATACAGTTCTCTTTATTTCCGTTTATGCTCATCTCGTTCCAAGCATCCCATTTGTGAATATCTCTGTTATCCTTTTTTCTTTTGCTGGGCTCATCTCTTCTTTTAAGGAATCCCATGTTTCATTTTATTCTTTCTTTCTTTCTTCTTCTGGGCCCGTCTCATATGAGGAATGCCAAGCTTTAATTTCTTCTATCCTCTCCTTTCCTGAGCTTGTCTCTTTTGTTAACCTTCTTTTATCTTCTTCTTCTTGGATCATCTATTATTTTGAGGAATCCCAGGTTTTATTTTCTATACTTCTTTTTTCTTCTTCTTATGGGCTCATCTCTTCTTTTGAGTAATTCCAGGTTTCATTTTCATTTATCTTTTTCTGCTGTTTTCTACTCTTTCTTCTTCGTCCTTGTTTCGTTGCCAAGTTCATCTCCACCTTTTGTTTTTTATCTGAATCGTCAATTTTCCGTTTCTCATGTTTGTCCTTTCTTCTTCTTTTTCATCCGTGAGTTTCATCTTGTTATTTTTGAAATCAATTACTCCATGTTTCTCTGTCAATTCGTCCACTCCTACGATCATGTCATGCGACATATTTGGCATGATCACACATTGTAGTGCATAAAATTTCTTACCCAATCGTACCTCTATTCGTATGCTTTCATTTATCGTTGCCAATGTCAGATTATTTGACTTACTAAATTTATCCTAGGGATTTTGTAAATTAAATTTATTAGATTAACTTTTTCTATTAACTTTCTGTTGACTAGTGATATTTCCGATCCAGTGTTTATCATAATTTTAATTGGTTTCTCGTTGATAAATCCATCTACAAATTTTAAACTTATTCCATTTCTTTGATCATTATTTCCTGCAAGTTTATAAATTCCTTGGGTGAAAAAATTCCTGTTATTTTTTGTTTCTAGTGAGCGCCTTCGTGAAAGACGCTGTTGCTCTTCAGTGCTTCTCCTTACGTCGCTTTGTCTCCCTTCCTCATATTCTATCTGGGTATTATTGATCTCTCTTCTACTTTCTCTTGGTCTGTCGGATTTGTATCGGTTTTCTCGATACTCCTGTTCATTTTGTCCATTATTAATTCTATTCTCGTGATATGTGCCGGTGGTGTTTCGATTCTGGTTTTCGATATATATCCTCGTCCTATTGCCGATTTCTTTAAAAAATTCTCTATCTCTAGAATTCTCTTTTTTATAGTCCCTCCTATAATTTTGTCTTCTATCTCTGTACTCATGTGTTTCTCTTGGTCTGTAATTTTCATGCGATCTTCTCGCCTTTCTTTCTCTCAAGCGCGATTCTCTTATTTGTAGGAATTGGCACAAGCTATCTATATCTATGCAATTTTGCAGAGTGATATGGTCTTCTAGCGTTTCTTCAAAATGTCTTGCAATCAGTTCAACTAATTGTTCTGATGAATAATTATATTGTAAATGCTTTGCAATATTATACACTTGTAATGCGCATGTTTTTTCTGAGATACTCATCCTAATATTAATAATAATTATATCAGCATCATCATCATCCAGCCGAATTTTCACATCCATTGTTGGATATAGGCCTCCTCCAAACGTCTCCAGTTCTCTCTATCTCTAGCTGCTGCAATCCAGTTTGTTTCTATTCTCCTTAGGTCGTCGGTCCATCGGGTGGGTGGTCTGCCTCGACTTCGCTTGTCGGCTCTTGGTCTCCACTCCAATAATCTCTTCGTCCATCTTCCGTCTTCCATTCTAGCAACATGTCCAGCCCACCTCCACTTTTGTTTATTGATTCGCAGTATAATATCGTCTACGCCAGTTCGTCGGCGTATCTCCTCATTTCTTACGCGATCTTTCAAGGTCAGGCCCAGCATTGATCTCTCCATTCGCCTTTGTGTTACCCTCAGTTTTTCGGCAGTAGCTTTCGTTAAAGTTAAGGTCTCTGCTCCGTAGGTCAAGACTGGTAAGATGCATTGGTTAAATGCCTTCCTTTTCAGGTGAATTGGGATATTTGTTTTAAAAATGTCTCTCATCCGTCCATATGCCGCCCATCCCAACGTGATTCGTCTATTTAGCTCGCAGGTTTGGTTGTCTCTGGTTATTCTAATTTCATGACCCAAGTATGTGTATTTATCGATTAATTCTACCTTGTTGTTATTGATCTGTATCTCTTCGCTGGGAACCATATTGGTCATCATTTTGGTTTTCTCGAAATTTATCTCCAGCCCAGTTTCTTGTAGTATGTCATTCAGTTCTTGGAGCATGTCTTTGATCTCTCCCAGATTATCTGACAGAAGCACGATATCGTCCGCAAAACGTAGATGGTTTAATCTTTCTCCATCGATGGATATTCCTTTCTGTTGCCATGTTAGTCTTTTAAATGCATACTCAAGAACGGTAATGAACAGCTTTGGTGACATGGTATCACCTTGCCTGACTCCCCTTTTTATCTTTATTTTATTAGTTGCAGAATATAGACTTATGGTTGTTGTGGCATTTTCATATATATTTTTAATTATATTACAATATCAGTGGTCGATCCTGCAATCTTGTAGTGCTCTTAAGATGGACGGTAGTTCCACTGTATCAAACGCCTTTTTAAAGTCTACAAATATCAATGCCAAGGGACGGTTATATTCGTTAGTTTTTTCTATTAGGGTTTTTAGGCACTGCAGGTGATCGTTTGTGCCATAATTAGGGCGGAAACCAGCTTGTTCCCGAGGTTGGTAAAAATCCAGCTTTGTCTCTAATCTATTCGTTATTATTCGGGTGTATAATTTATAAAGATGGTTAAGGAGACTGATTGGTCTGTATCTTTCCAGGTCTGCTATATCTCCCTTCTTGTGTAAGAGTACAGTTATTGAATTATTCCACTTTGTTGGGATATTTTGATTCCATAGGCATAGATTAAAGAGCTTTTGAATTTTGGCTATCAGTACTGAGCCTCCTAACTTTATCGCTTCCGTGACGACACCGTCCTCCCCCGGAGCTTTGTTATTCTTTTAATAATATAATATAATACATAATAATTATATATATATATATATATATATATATATATATATATATATATAATAATTATTAATAAACTCATCAGGGTTCCGTGTTGAACCGCGTCGATTATTACTGAGCCGAGCTTTTGACGTCCTGCCTGACGTCTTCTTCAGGACTTCCGGGGACTCAGTATCCTTAGCCCAGGACACTACTATACTGTTCACCAACCACAGTAGTGCAGTGATAGTTTATTTTTTATTTTAATTCACCAGTTAAGTATCTTCATTCTGTTGATATGTTACCTGATCTAATCTTCCCATCTGCACTTTGGTCTCCCTCTAAATCATGTATTTGTA